GTTCATAAAAAACTACATCTCTGTTGATCACCATCTTCCTTGCAATCGGATCTCAAAACTTGTATCCTTTCACACCTTTCTTGTAGCCCAAAAAGATGCATTTCTTGTATTTTGCATCAAGTTTTAATCTTCATCTTCAGGTACATGCACATAAGCAGGACAACCAAAAATTCTTAAATGATCGAAATTAACTGGATTACATATCCATACCTCTTCTGCAACCTTGCCGCCCAATGATGCCCGAGGTGATCTATTGATGAGATAACATGTCATATTCACAGCCTCTGCCTAAAAACTCTTCGAAAGCCCTGCATTCAATCTCAAGTATCTTGCCCTTTTAATTAAAAACTTGTTCGTCCTTTCTGCCACATCACTTTGTTGTGGTGTCTTGTGCACTGCAAAATGCCTCTGAATCTCATGCTCCTCACAAAACTTCTGAAACTGTGAATATGTGTGCTCTGTGTCATTATCAAACCTCAAATACTTGATCTTTATGTCAATTTGGTTCTCCACCTCAACTTTCCACAGCTTGAATTTAGAGAAGACTTCAGATTTTTTCTTCAAGAAATACACCCAATTTTTCCTAGATAAATCATCAATAAATGTAACGAAATACGGAGATCCTCCTAATGACGATTCCCTGGTAGAGCCTCATACATCAGAATGCACATAATCAATTTCTTCATAAAACTGGCTCTACTCTGTTTTCCAAGAACACAGAACTTACAAAGATCGAGCTTGCAGCTTTTAACACCATCCAACAGCTTTCTTCTATGCAATTATGCCATCCCACAATCACTAAGATGACTCAGACTCGTATGTCATAGTTTTGTATTGTCATCATCTGACTCCACAGAATGAACTCCACTTAAAACTGTACTCCTCAACAGTTTGTAGATATTATCTGCATTTAACTTTCCTTTCATCAAAGTCAGTGCACCCTTGACAATTCTGATGGTTTCCCTATTCTCATCTGCCTTAGGGATAAAACCATTCATATGTAAAGTACCCATGGAAATCAAATTCTTCTTCAGATCTAGAATATGTCTGACATCACATAATGTTCTAATAATGTCATCATACATCTGAATTCTGACTTCACAAATACCAACAATATTACAGCATCTATCAACACCTAACTAAACTGAGATAAAATTAGTTAACATGTATGAAGTAAACCACTATTTGTTAGGTGTTATGTGATAAGAGCATACTGAATCAAGAATGCATGTATCCCTGAACATAGTTGATGAAACTGAAAGCATATTGTCATCACTGCAATATGAATTGTCACTCTGCACCGCATTTACAGACTTCGATGATCCATCGCCTTTTTTTCCCAGTCTGCTTCTTAAGCTTTGGATAATCTCTCTTCATACGACCTACCTCCTTGCACTTGTAGTAATGAATTGTTTTTTTGTCTTTAAACTTTGATATGGAATTTCACCTTCCAGAATCCTCCTTCTCTTTCTTCCTTCCACTATCCTGATTACTCTTAACATATAAATGGTCACCATGAGAGCTTTCTCCTGCATTCTGCTTCCGCTGGTTGTGAGCCAACAATGTTGCAGCAATCTCATCAACTTTGATAGTTTCTTTCTCATATGTAAGAGTAGTCATCAAATGTTCATAGGAAGAAAGCAGTGAACACAACAGAATCATTGTCCGGTCTTCATCCTCAATACTCACATCAAGCTGTGATAAATCTGTGATTATTTGATTGAAGCATTCACATGCTTCCACAGATCGGAACCTTCTTACATCTTCAGCCCATACACATTTAACTTTAGATACAATTTATTCGTCAGAGATTTGGACATAAACTGAGTTTGCAATTTCTTCCGTACCCCCTGGAGATTTCAGATTCATCACATGATACATAACATCATCTGTCAGACATAAACATATGTTTGTTTCCACTCGTTGTTGTAATTCTCAATCTTCATCCTCCATAGCATCTGGTTTTGTTGCCTACAAAGCCTTCAAGCTTCCATGTTGCGCCAATAGATTTTTTATCATTGTTTGCCACATTCCGCAGTTATCAGTTCCATCGAACTTCACCACCTCAAATTTTGCACCAGAAATTGTCATTTGAAATTGATCCTACAATGAATTCTTCTACAAATTCCTTCAAGATTCTTCCTTTGTTCCCTGCTTTCGCATCCTGGAAAATCTCCGCGTGCGGCACAAGAAAATTTTATGTCTTCTCCGCTCGCGTTTAGCAAATGAATCAAATCTAAATCACCTCCCAGCAAAGAAAATTTCGCAAGCAATCCGAAAATTGCGCCTCCAGCAAAGGAAATCGCTTCTCCGTCTCCAGGAACCTACATGGACATAATTTTTATTCTCTTGTGGCAAAGGAAAGCTCCAATTTTTTATTCTCCTGCGTTGCAGCCAAGATTCCCTTTTTCCAGTCAAGGAAATTCAGAAAATCCTTCCAAGTTCTCTTCTCCACAAGATTCCCTTCCTCTAACAAAGGAAATTCAAAAAATCCTTCCAAATTTTCTTCTCCACAAGATTCCCTTCCTCTGCTACCTTCCTTTTCTGCCTGTCGTCATTCTATAGGTGGCAGTGTTCGCAGTGAACTTTTATACTTCGAATCCTTCTCGCCGAATTTGCAATTCTCTGTTGATCATCGAATTCATGAATTCCCCCTGCGTAACACCAAGACTTTCGTGACTCTTCCCGCTGCTGCAATTCACTTGCTCTTCCGCCCAACAAGAAAACAAATCGGACCCGCTCTTCAGCCTAACAAGACAACAATCTCCCGC